GCTGCATCTGTCTGTTACTTGGGATGAGTACGATGAGGAGGACCAGAATCTTGTCACGTGGCGAATTCCCGGAATTTTAGACGAACCCTCAGCAGAAACTGATGTCGAGCGATCTAACGGAGGTGAAAATACTGAGGATGAGTGGGAAGACGTGGACGAGGAAGATGAAGAAGGCAGGGCTGCAGTGGATCGAGTGTTGAAGAAATTCGACAAGGCACCTGTGATGGATGATGAAGAAGGTGGGGGTTTTGACGCTCGACATGAACAATCCATCAATGACAAAATGGCGGAATGGAAGAGAAAATATTACAAGGTGCGTTCCCGCATCGTATGGCGTTCTTTAGACCAACCGTTTGCACTATAGGAGAAACTTGAAATCTCCTTTGACGACCCCGAAGAGATGCATGACTTGATATACCGCTATGTAGAGGGACTACAATGGGTTATGCACTACTATTACAGCGGGATCGCCTCGTGGGGTTGGTTTTACAATTACCATTACGCACCACGGATATCTGGTACTTTTTGCAGTCTCTGTCCTCATTGCACTACATTCACAATTTCTCCAAGATTTATGCGGCCTTGGCGACATGTCGTTCGCATTCGAGCTGGGTAAACCTTTCCATCCTTTCGAACAACTGATGGGCGTCCTCCCGTCCGCAAGCATGGATCACATTCCGTCAGCATATCAAGTATGTTCAGTGGCCCTGTGTCGTGCATTAGACTAATCACTCATAGGATCTAATGTACGATCCAAATTCACCAATATTGGATTTCTACCCCCTCGAATTTGAGCAAGACCTAAATGGGAAGAAGCAAGAATGGGAAGCGATCGTTAAGATTCCCTTCATTGATGAGCAGCGGCTATTACAAGCAATGCGTTGTGAGTGGCATGTTCCGTTTTTTGGCTGTAGTTCGTCATCGCTCCATGTGTACAGCCCGAGAACATAGGTTGACTCCAGAAGAACGTCGCCGCAATGACTTTGGAACCAGCACTAAATTTTTCTTCAATCCTGGAGAACCCACAGTCTACCCTTCATCGTTGCCAGACTTCTTCCCTCCCATATATCGTTGCACGTGCAAGACGGAATCTTTCGATTTACCAACTCTTGACGGACTCCATCTCGTGCCTGGACTATGTGAAGGTGTATGCCTCGGTGCGGAGGCCCTCGCTGGATTCCCCTCACTGGATACATTACCCCACACAGCGCAACTAGGATTTCATGGTGTCAATGTACACAATTCCGAAAGCCGCAATCAGTCGATGGTAGTTCACATCCAAAATCCTCACGAAAACCGCAAGGTAGAGGACATTGCCAAGGAAATGGTTGGCAAACGCACTTTCATCGGTTGGCCCTTTTTGCAAGAGGGGCTAGTTACCGCCGTGTCCGATTCATTGTTCAAATACGAGAAGTTGGTACTCGTACCTGGCACCCCGGAAAAGGTTGTTTCAAATCCGCATTCCCACCAGGGCTTGAGCCATTGGAAAGGCAAAGCTGAGCGGATTGAGTCGATATATTCAAAGAAATGTGGAGTGATCACTGGTGACGTCGATGTCCTAGTGCACGTCCGTCCGCTAAAAGGTGCGTGCTGGTATTTTATGGACGTTCGTTTTTACACATTCGTGCAGGTTTGAAACGCTTGGAATCAGGCGCATTAGTTAAGGACTACGAAGGACCCGAAAGAGAACTCGAACAAGCCGTCCAGATGGTCATCTCAGAAATTGCATCTGAAGATCCCAGATTCCTCGAGAAGGATGCTCCACCCCTGTCGGAGGAATTTCCTGATGGAACGAACATTTTCTTCCTAGGCGAACATGCGTATGGTGCGGCTGCCCAGGTGTCTTCAACTACCGACAGCGCTTTGTCTGTTGTCTTGGCAGTATGTCACAACGCCTACCATGATTTATCTTTCTAAATGACCTCGTAGTTCTTCCCTTCAGATAAAACGGAGAACAACAAATTCAAGACTACTGTCGACAGCCGTGTTTCCCAGCACTACTTGCCATCGTACAAAGCAGCTTCTGCAATCGGAATGTCACCGAGAGCGCTCTCTAAGATCACATCTAGCTTCATGGTTCTCACCTCCGATCATCAAAAGAACAATCTTGGATTAAGCATCAAGTTCGAGGCTAAGGGCTTGAAGGTTATTGACTACTCGTTGAAGACCGGTCGCTATTGGGAGTTTAGCGAGAAGGCAGTTGACCTCATTCGTGAATATAAGGTTGGTCCTATCGAAATCGCATTTGAATTGGAACTCAGTTCTTTGCAGGACAAATTCCCAGAAATCTTCGCGATTCTGGACCAAGGAGGCGACGGTAAGATGTCAGACTAGCTCAACAATTCCTTGATCTCAACTCCAGGATAATAGATATGGCCCGCGATACGGACATCTTTGACTCTCACGCTGATGCCAGGGTCAAGGAAGTAAAGTCGTGGCTCAAATTGAAGGGGGTCCGAGATCTCGAGCCAGTTTCCCTCTTCTCAGACAGCCTAGCGAAGGTATATCAGAATCACTATTCATACCGAATCGTGTTTCACTCAAAGCTGCCTTTAGAGCACTGTCAAAGAAATCGAACAGGTTGCTGATGACATCAATAAGAACAGGTCCAAAGCGACAATCAAGAAAGCTATTGTGAAGAACATCCCTCGCCACGCAGTTCTGAAACCATCGCACGCTATCTATCGACTTCAGAACCAGCACTTTGCTTTGGGAGACAGAGTGACTATGGTTCAAGATTCAGGTGGAGTTCCATTGTCTGCGAAGGGCGTTGTCGTTGGCTTGAACACAAAGTCGATGGATGTCGTGTGGGACGTGCCATTTATGTCTGGTACGACGCTTGGGGACAGGTCAGTGAAACACTTCTTCTGGCCTGAGACACTTAAACTTGTAATTTGTAGATGTTCTCAGTATCGAGGTTCGACTGTAGAATTCAATTCATGTCTAAACCTAAGCAACCCCCAATTCATCGCTTCTACCTCCCCTGGTTCAACTTATCCTCCTCGCCCAAACGCTCCTTTCAAACCTCGATCTGGTCCGTATCCAGCCATCCAGCCTGCTCCTGGGCATCAAGCTGTTGCTGGATTCCGTTCTGCTGCACAGAGGTGAAGTTCTTGTGCTCGCGGGTTATATACGGTGCTAACTTCCGCACAGCCAACACCAACCACCTGTAGCAATTATGTCCAATCCGAACCGGGGTCGTGGAGGGCTTGTCCCTCGCGTACCTCGTGGAGGCCCTCCCTTTAATGGCTACGCAGGATCGCCAAATGGGCGTGGTGGACCTGCAATAAACGGTCGTCCTACATCAACAACAGAAGGCACCTCAGGAGGCGAACCTTCTGGATCGACATCGCAACCCGCCATGCGCCCTTATCCACATCCTAGAGGTGGTTCTCGAGGACGAGGATATATGTCGCATCTTGATCGCGGGAGAGGAAGGGGTTACCGAGGAAGGGGACGAGGCGTCGTTCACCCCGAGTCTTCATGAGCTCCGTGTATTTTTACCCACCTATCTGTAGCCTTGCTTTCGCCCTCATGTAGTTTGATTTGCGTGTTATCTGTTTGATGTCAGTTCTCGATGATACTCACTTGACCACATCAATCGCTCAAGGTCGTGTCCACCAGAGTTCGCGTTTTTGGCCCCGAGGACAATGGCTCTTCAATGTTTGCACGGAAAAATGTTATGTTTCGACGGATGAATAGCTTGATATCTAGACACCCAGCAGGCTTTTGCCTCCTTGCCAAACAGCGAAACTGATGGCAGTCATGGGTATGATCTTCAAGTAACCTATTCCTAATCCGACGTAGAAACCTCTCCACCCTCCACTTGCGTACACAGCACGCACAGTCTCTCCCCACCGTAGCCACCTATCTGGTCTAGTCAAACCTCCAACTTGCATTCGCCGACGAACGACCTCAAAGGGATACGACACAGTCTGCGAAATTGCACCAGAAACAGCACCAATGGCGAGATTTGCCAAGGGGTGAGGTCGCTTGGAGTGGTCATCTATGACTGGGAAGAAATGCGCCCGCAAGAAATCCCAAGTGAGAAATGCCGTGCCGGCGTAGGGAATCATGCCCACCATGGTCACGGTAAAGCCACGGTAAAATTTCAGAACGGGAAAGCGTTCAAATATTTGCGCCGCTGTGGTCCGCGTTGCAGGGGAAGACGTGGAACCTTCGTTATATATGACACGCATAGCTCTAAGAAAGGAAGGGCGTGTCTGGTCGGAAGAGCTAGATAGTCGACTATGGAACGCCATGCGCACGCGGACCAACTCGAGTGGGTAGGTGAAAATAACGGAGGTCATGCCTGTGGCGAATACGATTGAATGACGAGATATGACTGAGGGCCCGGCTCACCTGCAAGAGCGCCAGCAGTAAACCGTCTGAAATTTGTTTCTTTATCCCTATTGGGTATCACAAGCTGTATGGTACAGTAAGTAAGTGTGTACACATATGAAATAGTGGACGTACCGCTCTCCATTGGTCATAGGCCATAAACTTTATGGCTGCGTATGGAAATATTCGTAGAAGAGTCGCGGAGTGGCCTTGAAGTAATCCTCTGGCACCACCATCTCTGTATATTGCGAGTCCGGCTCGATAAGCTCCAGTCCAAGTTCCTTTGGGGGATGAAGTCAGTCCAGAGGTAGATGCGGAGAGACGCTGTCAACTATACATACCAGCATACTTCTGGAAATCAGGGTTTGAGGCTTGGAAAAGGATCTTGACTCTGTCAAGGGGGGCCACAACCGTCTTTGCCTATAGATGCGGTGTTAATTAACCGCAGAGAGCATGAGAAAAGCGAAGCATACGATGCACCCTGCCAAGCCACCAGCAATTCCAGATCGAATAGCATAGTCGAATGAACGTTTGTCTCGCTGATGAGAGACAGTAGAACTCATGAATACCTTACACACTCATACAGGGAGCGGAGGATGTTACTCTCCCGAAGCAAAGCCGAAATAGACAATCACAAGCGAATTTCTTCACACGTGACTCCAGAAGGCAGAATCAACTGACCCGATCATCATCGACATCGCTCTCACAACTGACAATGGCAAGCAAAGTGAAAAGCTCAGATGTAAAGGTTCTCAAAGGTCAAGAAGGTTAGGCCCGATTGCTACTCCTTCATGCTTTTCTCATTTCGCATTAGCCGAAGATGCAATATTGCAATATCTGAAAAGAGTGACCCAGAAAAAGGCGCATATATGCGCTATACTGACATGACATGCAACAGATGAACCGCCCCTTTGGTGCTGTGGATGTCGCTGCCAACCTGAAAGGTGCAGTGCCGAAGGCTACAACGCAGAAGATCCTCGTCGCTCTAGCAGAGAGGGGGGAGATTGTGCAGAAAACATACGGTGTGTATAAATTTATAAGTAAGAGCTTCTTGCATTTACGACCTATACAGGGAAAACCAGCTTCTTTGTTGCCAATCAGGCTAGCATTGACACGGTTCCTGCTGACAAGCTTACAGAACTTGAGGTTGAGTGCAAGACGGTCGAGGACAGCAACAACGTACTTGCGGCAGAGGTCAAAGCTATAACGGCAGGTAAGCGCTGAACGAAAGCGGATCCATCCCTCTTATGTATAATCTCAATCGCGAAAGAACTATCAAAACTCAAAAATGGTCCAACGGACGAAGAACTCGAGGCCCAGATTGCGGGCACGAAAAAGGAAGTAAGTACATGACTCTCACCGATTTTTAGAGAACCAATATGACCTGCTTTTGTCCCAACAAAGATAGCGCAACTCACCGACAGACTCATCCCCCTTCGCTCTGGCGCACCGCTCATTTCTGCTGAGGAACTCCTCAAGATCGATGCCGACTGGGCGAAATGGCGAGCGGAATGGACTCGCCGAAGAAAAGTCTTCATGACGTTAGTTTTTTGCCCACCCACTGACACTTCCAGACCATCAACGCATTCGATGCATCCAGTCGTGTTGCTAATTACCAGGCTAGGTTTTGGCAGCTTGCGACGGATTCACTCCCACCTCAAGAGGCCGAGATGCTCCTGGAAGATCTAGGGATGGAGTTCGATACTACAGAACACAAGATACTCGAGAAGGGACCTTTGTGCGCCATACAAGGTACAAACGCGCGTAGTAACCTTAAGAGGAAGCGGGCATAGTCAATCATCTCGGCGTATTGCACAACTGTCCGTTTATTCATGTGCTTGTAAACATCGTGATAAAGACCGAGAAAATGAGAAGTCAAAGCCATCGATGATTACATATCGAATGCTGGGCTCTGCCATCCCCTCTGCTTCTCCTCTTCCCTCTTCTTATGCTCAACGCTTTGCTTGAAACTCTGCACCTGCTTTAGGCCTTCCTTCCCGGCTTGCTCTACTCGTTCAACAGTAGTTGTTGCACCTTCCAAGGCACCTCCAACGTCTGCACCCGGGATCCTTGCTGCAAGCGGCTCCGCATGAGTACCCAAAGGACCTCTCTTCTCCCCCGAAAGAATTTGTGGTTCCGCGCCCATCGCAATCTTTGCGTTGCCGCCCAAATCATCCTTGACGACTCCTGTTCCAGTTGCTCTCCAGCCAGACAGCAAACCACCTTCCATCCGCCGGAGCTTCCCTATCTCGCTCCACATTGCAGCAACGACAGACGACGTAGTCCCAAGTCCAGCATCCTTGAACACCTCTGAACGTCGCCCAACATCAAACGCCAAAGCGTCGGTAGTATCGAACAGCCCCCGGATCTGCTCCTCCAGGGTGCGTGAAATCGCTTCGCGGAAACGAAGCATGATGACAGGCCTGAAGACGGATGCAAGGATGGGGTGGTTGGACTGCTTGACTTGCATGTTGATATCTTCCGCCACATTCACCTCGACGCGCTCGATCTTGAAGAACCGTCCAAGACGCTCGCGCTCCTTAAGACCTTGGGGCGTGTTTGGGATCAAGGAGAACTTGAGATCGATATCGATACCCTTTGGTGGCAGATTGAACTCTATGAGACCTGTGAAGTCCTTGGGCCCGACAATAGCAACCTTGTCCCTGTAGAAGAATGATACCTCCTTGAGCGCGAGCTGCACTGCTTGCATCCGAATGTGCGTGAGTGTGCCGATGGCAGTGGTGGTTGACTGTGATCCGGCGGGAGCGGTGATGTCAACGTCAGTGATATTGCGGATGTAGACATGCCCAGGAAGCAAGCTCAGCGACGAGATGTCGAAATTCTCGAGGACAAATTCGATCTCATTGTCAACATACTCGGTTCTGTCAAGCTCGTCAGCGAATGGTGAAAACGCGCGGTTAACCCAGGAACCTACCTTGGAGTCGGAATGTCCTTGATGACGCTCAAAAGGCGTGGCGCATAAACGTTGAAGACATCCTGCCAGAACCATGAGGCCTGATCGAGGGAAAACTGCATACCAATGCGTCCGCCCGTGCCAACGCTCTGCGCCAAATCTTTACCAAACATAGCATGTGCCTTCCGCACGCGCTGCAAGTCCGCATCCCTTGCGATCGCCTGTTGGAAATCACGAAGCGTGTGCCTGAGAGCCCGCACATCCTCTTTCCACTTACGCCCTGCATTTGAGTCTTGGTCAAGAAGCTGGTTCCAGCGCCCTGCGAGCTGTTGGAGCATGTGATGAGCTTCTTCTGATCGTGCATAGGCAGGCTCGTCGAGGCTCTTCCGGACATGAGCGAAGAAATCATTGAACCAGCTCTTTAGGTCTTCGTCGTTCCTGACGTGTACGGCGCACAGACGGGCCTTGGCGAAGACGTCATCCAAAGACTTGCCACCTGCGACGCGCTCGACGAGCGTACGGATGCCATGAAGGGCTTTGAGGACATGCTTCTCTTTCGATGGATCGTCAATGAAGGATTCGAGCGATGTAGACTCGGTAATATCAGTGGCAGTATCAAGAGACTTGTTGATCCACTTCGATACGATGTTGAAAAGTGTGGAGATGGCGTGATGGTAGTCCTCATCCTTCTGCGCACGTTCGCAGATCTGCACAAAATACTGTCAGCACCGGAAAGGTTTGAGAAAATAAAACGGACATTATAGTAAGTCTGCTGCAGGCGAATACGTGTACGCTCAGCCGCTTCTTCAGCGGATGCCTTCACCTCTTGCCCGACTCCTATAGCCTTAGATCCCGTCTCTTTCACAGCATCCATCGTGTTCTCAAATTTCGCCTTTGTATCTTCCTCACGCTCCCGTTCAATTTCTTCAGGGGTCTTTCGCTTGCGCCCCAGGTTGTCCCGCTCACCTTGCCGCACTCCTGTGTCGAGCTCGCGTAGACTTTCCTTAGTGTAAATGGCTCCGGTTTCAATGTCCCCGGCGAGGTCAGCCATTGCCAGACGTGCAAAAGACGCAAAGTCATTCAGGAGGACAGTTGCTTCATCACTGACGTTGGTCCAAAGAATGTGAAGAAGAGCACGAATGGTAGAGCGGATGGATTGGAGATCGGCGGACGCTTTATCTGTATCAATTGCTTCTACACGCATGTCTGCGAAATCTCCCTCAGAGAGGTGCCAAAGAACTTGTTGCAAAAGGTTGTCATCTATACCGCAATTAGATTTTGAAATTGAGGAAAGTCGAGATGCTCACGATTTTTGTTGTCCCCAAGTTTCTTGTATGCAATGAGGAGGTCTTGTATACCGCGTGCAAGAACTTCGCCCGACTCGCTGATCGTTCCCGCATCAGGAGATTCGACGCTCGCGATGATATTTTGGAGTGTCCAATCGATTGCAGTATCCGCCTGCTTCTGGGTGGGGAGCTTGCCTGCGTCGAGAGCAGCGATAACAGAAGATAATTTGTCCATGGTGTGTTGTTGGGAAGTTGACATCAGACTGTTGGGGAGAGTGGAGCGTTATAAAGACCCAATCTTTATAGGAGCTCAGAAAAGGAGTACTGAATGACGCACATGGTTGGACTGGTAACGTCATAGGAGCAGCTCTCCTACGTACTGTATTACTCTATCATTGTTCCACCATAGCTATGAGTTCGACCACATACTGGCAACCGGGCCCAGGGGTAAACCGGTAACGTTTCACAGCTCCCTCCATCATGATCAGATCCGTAGCCGCATTCAAGTTGTGACTAAAGTCACACAAGTAAGTCGGTTTAAATTCCCTGCGAAGTTTGAAGCCAATTACTGTGAACGCATCCTGCAGGACAAACACCGTACCGTATACCATGGGTATGTTCAAGCAGGAAGCCTCATGCATGGTGTGATGTGATATAAATATAGCTATCACCATTCTATTTCCGGTGTCTGAAATTATTTGTGTCAAACTATATGAGACTTTGATCCGACTACACATTTTGCCTCATTTTTTTCCTCGCTTCCCCCATTACAAAACCAAAGCGTTCTTTGTTTCCTTACCTTCTATCACCACCACCAACTTTGAGATATGTCTCGTTCCACTCTTTCTGTGCTTTTAGCCATTGCTGTCACTTCACAACTCGCCCTCGCTCAACCCGACCCAGCTGACCCAACACCACTTGTCGACAAGACTTATGCCTACCCGTCAGGAATTGTGAGCATTCAGGCCCTCTTTCGTTGTGCACCGTGTTCACACGGCATAATTTTTCAAGCCCTACCAAGTCGACTACAACACCGCTGCTATCCGTGGCCCTCAGACCGGCTATAACATCTGTAACTCCACCACACAGAACCAGAATTCTTTGTGCCAGACCTCAATGGTGAACCACATTGACGGTGCGTCTCCGGTTAACAACTCTGCACGCGTTCATAGCTTATAATGTCCGTATTGTTTTCAGATTTCTGCTTGTGGGCACCGCCCATTCCTAACTCCACCATCGGCGATACCGAACAAGAGGAGGTTGCATGGTGCACAAAGCCTGGCCACGGTACTCGTCTCATCCCCAATGGTGCCCTCCAGGGTGTTCAGTATCTCGTTACATCGGAGTACATTCAAATCGCTGGTTTTATCGACCAGACTCAGATTAACATGAACGCTCAAGATTACGGAGGAGAGCTCGACCCTCATGGTGCTGACCTTGTGAGTCTCTCACGTTTGTCGATTAGAGTTAAACTTGACTGTCACTCAGCGTGGGAATCCTCTTGGGGGTTTGATGTACTCCAACGCGTTCCCAAGCAACGGTGGCAACAACGATTCCTACCAGCAAGTTATTGACTGGACGAAGTAAGTCGCTGAACTCAAATCAATTCCCATTCTCGTTCTCATGCACCGCAGCTTCATGGGTGGCGATGCTTTCTGTATCACAATTTGTGATCCTGCTTCTAGCAGCGCAAACCAGTCCGCTTACTGCCAGAACATCTACGACCGCATGGGTTGCAGTTACAACATGCCCAACAATGCCCAGAACGGTACCTTCGAGGTTTGCGACTCTGATCTCAAGATTCCTGCTGGTCTTTACGTCACCGGCGGCGTTACCATGACTTACAGCCAACCAGATTCCGCCGCTGTCGACCCACCTTACACAGCTTTCACTCCCGCCTCATCCAACTGCGTGACTTACGCCAGCTCTGCTCTCTACACCGGTATCGCCACCGTTACCCCTACTGGCGTCTCCGCTTCAGCAAGTGGCGGTACTGCTAAGGCCACTGGGACTGGCTCGAACTCAGCTGGTGCTGCTGCTGCAACTCAGACCGGCGGTGCCGTCGCTCTTGGTGTTTCGACCCTTGCGGGTGTCACCGGTACTCTCTTCGCAATGATCTTCCTCTCATGAATCCAGTGTGCCATTGACTATATCATTTAGACTTGCATATATTAATATACCTGCACCTGTACACTGACATTCATGATGGTGATGGGTTATCTGTTTTACCTTTGCTGGAGACGATTGTTGTTATATGCAGCGACGGACTTGTTCATTTTTTACTTCGGCTCTTTGGATTGGCTGACTCATGCTGTTTGGTATTACTGTTTGGACCATAACTTACGAACTGGAATATAGCAACTTGGTTACTGTCTCTTGGTGTGTTTGCTGTATCTTCAACCTCCGTATGCGATGTGGGATTTGCAGGAGGATGCCTACTCGCTGAGGGCCCTTTGAAGTGGTGGTGCTTATGAATCTCGAACGTACGTTCTCCTAATATATATTGTAACTCATCCTGCATGTCGTCCAGGCAATACTGATTTATTCCAATCAACGAAGTTCCCACTCGAATGAACCGAAACATCATGATGTTCACGGCACATCTTTAC